AATCTACATACATACTTATATATTATATGTACATATGCAAATATAAAACCCCTCAACCAACGCACAACTCAACACTTCGTGCCTCTGCATGCCCAACAGCACTTTGAATACGAATTGGTTATTAATATTTTTATGGTTATGTTTACATTTATATTATACAAATGCTAATTATGCTGAAAGGAAAGCAAACAGATAAAGTGTCTATCTATGTATGTATGTGCGTGTCTGATAATATTGTAAATATTGAAATTCAATAAGCCAATATGCGAAGTATATGTATGTATGTAAGTGCGCTCATTCATGCAAAATACAGACATATGCATATGAAACATTAGCATATGTTTGTATGTGTAGTTTTAGCGGCTTGTGTGTCCAAATAATTATGTAGCACGACAAGTCATTGAGCAACTGGATGAAACCATAATGCCCATTGAAAAATTATAATTACTAGTAATTAGTTGATATATTTGTTTTTCTTTAATGTAAATAAAGAATTAAAAATTCAAATTATGAGCGAAACTTGAAGAGAACGCGAAGTAGCGATAACTAGAGAAATAAATTATGTTAAATAGTATGCAGAAAGCTTGCTGGCAGGTAAAATTAGTTATTTATATTGATAAAGATGATTATTATTATTATTTTTAATATTAGAAACTTTATTGGCAAACCATTTTCTTGGTTATTTTTTAAAAATATCTTTTAACCACAATTTTAACTACTTTGTAAGCAGTAACTAACTGACTAGTTTGTAACCAGTTGTTAATAGTTTGTAACCGAGTTGCTAACTACTTTTTAACCAGTTTCTAACTAGTTTATAACCATTTACTAACTAGTTTGTAACCAGGCGATAACTAGTTATTTGTTGCCTTAAAATTACTTCGTTTCTATAAAAAATCATTTAATTAATAATAATCCATTAATTAATAACTCTTTATTGGCTTACCAACTCCAATGCTGAAACTAAATATTTTCTTATTTTCTCCGCCATCAGCACAAAGCTTTGCCGACAACGTCTTTTCGTTATTTGCGAAATCCCTTACTGACAGCGCAGCCAATATTAATTGCATTGCAAATACTATATAATGGAGGTTTAAAGGGATTTTAGCTTATAAGTGTGAAGAATTTCTAATTGAAATTGAATAAACACGAACATGAATGTGGTATAAATACATATGTATACAAAGAGTACAAGATTATATTTATACCACGATGTAACACCCAGAAGCAAGCGTCGGATAACCAGCAAGACGTGCTAAGTTGAGATATCGCTCTGAAATTTTCCACACATTCTCCTCTCCCTAAATAGCTACTCATTTGTCGGAACTGCCAATATCGGATCACTATAGCATATAGCTGCCATACAAACTGGTTAATCAAAATTAGGTGCATGTATGAAACACTTTTTTATTTGATGAAATATATTAACGAAATTTGGTATAGACTATTTTCTAAAACAGGGATATAATATATGTAGAAATTTTTCAGATCGAACCACTATAGCATATAGCTGCCATACAAACTGGTTAATCAAAATTAACCCTTTGTATGAAAAACGTATTTATTTGAAAAGGCAACACCACGAAATTTAGTAGAGATCATTTTCGAAGGCAATACTATAATATTTATAAGAAATTTTTTATATCGGATCACTATAGCATTTAGCTGCCATATAAACCGACCATCAAAAATTAAGTTCTTATATGAAAACTTCTGTGTTTTACAAGATATTCTCACAAGATCTGGTTTATGTCATTTTCTGAATCAAAGCTACAATTAAAAAAAAAAATCTAAATCAAATCACTATAGCATATAACTGAACGCCTGCAAACGTAGTACCATATATGTATGTATGTATGTAAACGTGTAAGCCGCTTTTATTGTGTTTGCAAATCTAAACACTTTTGCTGACCACCGTTGGTAAACAAACGATAAATATTTTGTTGTTTTTGCAATTATTATTTACTTTTGCAATACAAATATGACCGCTGTTGCTGCTAATGAAGTCGCAATATTATATTTTATATACCAACTCGCTAACTGATATTGTTTACTACAATAATGGTATAAAAATAGTTATCAACAAATGCACTTGTATGTGTCACTGATTATTTTACTGCAAAAAACCGTTAGTGTGCTTACGATTAGTAGTAAATTTATGACTGCATTTTATTGCACGTTATATATTAAATTTGCGCGACTGCATGTGTGTACTTGTATTTTTAGCCGCTTTTTGTGCTTGGCTTTATACTTTCATTATCCATTTTTATAGAAACTTTTTTTCTTATTTTTTTATTTTCTCTATAAAAAAATATTTTGTTTTCGAAATAAATTTTTTTTTTCCATAAAATTTGTTTTTCTATAAAAAATATATATATTTTTTTTGTCATAAAAAACATTTTTATCAAGAAGAACTGTCAACACACACATATATGTACATATATACATACACTATTTATACACTTGTCCCAGTTGTAAACAAAACACTGTAAATATGCACAACAGTCACTATAACGTGCTTATTACTCAAGTCAGCCATTTGCGCACCTACAACAACAAAAATCCTTATATCGATATATCATATATGTATATATGTACATATGTAGTTAGCTCGCACTAGTTGCATACCAGGTATGCATGTGCTTACGTTTATCTCATTTAGTACCTCGTAAAACAGTTGATTTATTTTTACCTTCATTGGCACATCACTGTTAACTGCTGAGTTTTATGATTTTGTTTTTAATTATGTAAAAAATGATTATTGTAAATAAAAAAAACTATATTGTAAATGAAAAAAATAAAAAATAAAAAATAAAAAAATTATAATATAAAAAAAAATATAATAATAAAAATAAAAAATAATAATAAAAATTAAAAATAAAAAATAATAATAAATATAAAAAATAAATAAAAAAAATATATATTGCAAAAATATAATTGTTTTTGTTGCTACAGCAAAATTATGCGCTTGCTTTGTCTCATATGCATGTACATACATATGTATATAGCAGGAAAATCATACGTATGTATGTATATATGTATATATTTAAATAACATATTTACCGTTATTTCGTGCAGATCAGTAACTTTTTTTGTGCTAAAAAGCTTATAGCTCACTAAATTTTTATTAAATTTGTCATTTTTATAGCCTAAAGTTTGATTGTATGGCAGATATATGATAAAGTGATCCGATCTGAACAGTTTCTTCGGAGATTATAGCTTTGACTCGAAAAAATTAATCTGTGTGAAATTTTGTGACGATATCTTGTCAAATAAAAAGGATTTTAATACAAAGACTGAAATTTAATCCAACAGTTTGTATGACAGCTATATGCTATAGTTGTCCGACTTGAACCATTTCTTTCCCAAATGTACCGTTGCTTTAAACAATAATTTATGCAAAATTTCATGAATAAATCTTGTCAAATAAAAAAGCTTTCTATACAAACACCTGATTTCGATTGCTCAGCTCATATGGCAGCTATATGATATAGACTTCCGATCTAAACGATTTATTCAGAGATTATAGCACTGACTCGGAAAAAATAATCTGTGTGGAATTTTGTGAAGAACACTCGTCAAATAAAAAAGTTTGTCATATATAGTCTGAATTTTAGCCCACCAGTTTGTATGGCAGCCATATGCTATAGTGATCCGATCTGAACGATTTATTCGAAGATTGTACCGTTACTTTGGACAATGATTCATGCCAATTTTAGTTAAAATATCTTACAAAATAAAAAAGTTTTCCATACAAAAAACATTATTTCTATCACTTAGTTTGTATGGCAGCTATATGCTACAATAGTGCGATATCGGCAGTTCCAAGAAATGAGCAGCAGCTTAGTGAGAAAAGAATATATACCAAATATCAGAGCAATATTTCGAAAACTGAGGGACTAATTCGCATATATTCAAACAAACATAACCTAAAAGACTCAGCTCGTTGTTATTAATATATTTATAAATTACAAGGACTCCGACGTTTCCTTCTATCTAGTAGAAACTTCATGACAAAGTAAATAAACCCCGTGCAGGGTATAAAAGCCGCACACACCACTCTTAATATGCATGCCTCCAACCGCTATCGCGACTTTATAGTTTGTACGACGTGTTAAGTGGTGCGGTCAGGTGATATGGTATGTTATAGATAAATTGACTTGATTTTAAGTGCCGCTATAATTGAAGAAAAATTATACAGCAACAACAACAGCAAGGCAAGTAAACGCTTGTCAGCGGCGCTAAGATCAAAGCGCTCAGCCGCTAGCGACTATAAATCTGCTTTCGCTGTAGTTTAGCGTGGATTATAAGCATTTGCTGTTTGCCAAAGTTAATGGCAAAAATTAAATAATTGGCGACCCGTGCGTGGTTTTATTTGCTTTGAAGAATTTCTCGCTTGTTTTCGCGTTTTTGACGTGTTGCCCAAGCTTCCAAGCGCCGAGTGATATATTTATGAAGAACTGGCATGTCAAATTTTATTACATATCTCAGATAACTTTTATTAGGCGCGTTATCAGCGAAAAACAACTTGTGAATTTTTTATGCGCGAGCTGTCGAAAAGTTTGGATACAAAGTAACTTAAACCCGGCCAAGTTTACTTTAATGTTCACCGCAAAAATACCAGATCGTTTGGGCATGAACACGTCAAAATGATATTTTTTATGAAATTATGGGCGATTAAGTTGGAGGCCCCACGCTTTTAAGACAGCGCCGCTCAGTGACATTGATTGTTAGCCATTTGAGTAGGCTTTCTTATCAAATTGTTGACTTTAGGGCCAAATTTACTTACGATTAGGTGTGTTTATTGAGGCAGAGCTCGCACTTGAACTCGCAGTCCTTTGTGTAGCCATAAAAATGTTTCTAAAAAACTGTAATATTTGCTGAAAACTTATTACTGCGTTTTTTCGCAATTCACTGACGATTTTTCATGTTTTTCGTTCACTACTAGGTAACTATTACTTAATACGTACTAGATATGTTCTTAATTTGCATTATGAACTCACCATTATTGGGCTTCAGTGGTAGCTCCGCTTGATCGATGCCGCGCGCTGTGAAGACGGGTGCAACTTTGGTGCAGTTGGGCATAAACTGATCTATTACCGACGAACTGGCGAGTTCCGTGGCCACGGCGGAGGTATGCGGTATCTCTATGCCGGTTAACGAATCGGTGTGATTCATAAAACCTTGTGCATGCACATCCACACAGAAGAGCAACAAAATTAGGTATGAAAACAAGGTAAATGTGCAAAAATTTAAATTTAAATATTTTTTGGAAGCGGCTGGCGAGCGCCGTTTAGCGACTGCAGACACGGCGCGTTGGTTGCCTTTGGAGATCATGGTTTTGCGGCGCGAGCCAAGTGTGGCGGTGGCACTTAAAGTTCTGCTGAGACGTTGCATGTTGTTACACGTACTTTTTTTTCAAATCAAGTGTATGTATTTATGTATGTGTGGATAAATGCTTGTTTGGTTGCTGTAACGCTTGGCTCTGACTTCAACACTTTTTATCGGCAAACTTGCTAGTAATTTTTTTGCTACTGTATTTTTCTATTTTTACTTTTTGTATTTCTATTTTTGTTTCACGTTTTTATCTCCACTTTTTCGGTGTCTGCTTGTCTCTGTTTGCAAATGATTTTAACACACGCACACGCCTAGCGACAACACCCTCGACTCGTATACGCTAATTGTTATTGCTTTGTATTGACACGCCGCTTTGTTGCAGTTGTTGTTGTCAATATGAGTGTTGCATCATTATTAGCAAATATGTAATACGCGCGAACACATACATATGTATGTATACTTAAATACCGAAAACACGTAAAAATTTCTAAAATTGCCGGCTGTAACGTTGGCGTTGTCAACACGACGCGCGCCGCGGGGCTTTTCGACGGGTGGGTGCTGCAACGTAAACAAAAAATACCTATTTTTCGCAATTTGCTACTTTTTTTTTGCTGTTTGCCGGTTCACTATGACAGCGACAAGGTTAACGACGTCGCCAGTAGATTTATGTCTGTGTGTGACACATGTGATTCATGTACTAAACGGCGGGTGGAATGCGATGATTTCTCCGGGCGCATACGCTGAGCAAGAAGAGGGAGGTTTTGAGGAGTAGAACGGTTGTTGGTTGGCAGTATTGCACGGTTACTTAGACAAGTTGTTGTTATATTAAAGGCACACTTAGCGAGTTTTAACTGTGTTTGTCGTGGACATGCGGCGTAAAGTAGTTGAAACTATGGCATACGAATTTTCAATACAAAGAGTTACAAAATAACTTTTCAAGTGCTTAAAGTAATATTTAATTTTTACTTTTCAATATTGCAGTGCTTCACAATTTCAAGTAATTTATAATTTTTATGCAATTTGTTGCTTATTTTTGTTAAACTGCCGCAAACACTAACATTTAGCGCAGCAAAAACACACACACGTCCGTACGCAGTTTTTTTTCAGAAAATTTCAGCGCCACGATTAACTAAAAATCAGTTTAAATTAATATTTTCGCAACACACACACACTGTATAATTGCTATTTCGTATATTGATGAAAACAAAAAATCACACCGAATTGAATTTGAAGCGACGAAAATTGCGTTCGGCAGGTAGACTGGTTGTTGGCGCACCGCTAACTACGAAAAGATATCGCACAACCGCACCGCGCGACCAGAGAACAACGAATGAGCATCGAGCGGAGAGCGCGCAACCGGCTGGACCTCAATGAAACATTTTTCCCAAAAACGCAAACCATATGAGATACACACATATACACGGGCAACGACAGGCACAGCGCAGCGTTCACGGAGAAGGCAGCGCGACAGCAGAAAACCAACAAAACAAACAGCGTAAACCGGAGTTATTTAGTTGCAAACGACAAGATACAAATGTAACTCGCACGCATACTGCGCCGCACGCACACACACATACATTCGTGTGCTACGACACATATTCATTTCACAGGCGTGTGGAAATTGTTTTTTATTTGTTGTTTTTACGGCTTTGTTATCGAAGGCATTGTGCGTAGCTGGCAGATACTGGCAGTTGCAACAACAACGCACGAACATGTTCGATGTTGGAGCTGCTTCACCCAGAGAACGTAAAATCAGAGAACTTAAAACATGTTCTCTGGTAAAATTATGTTTTAAGTGCTCTGCTTCACCTGGCTGCAAACTGGGAGTTTGTATGTTTTAGTAAGAAACTGCTTAAATCTGTTTTGTTGAATTTTGCGTAAGCTGTAAATGGAGTTTTACTGCGTTAACATATGATTTGCTTAAAATATATAAACGTGGATAATTTACCTCATATATGAATGTGTGTGCATTTAATTGCCAGCGGAAAATATTAGATAAACACTCAATACAAAAGCACTCCTGTAGCTAATATGCTGTTAAATAATATGTTAATGTTAAGTAAATCACGTATGTATGTACTTATGTATGTATGTAAGCGTATATTTACGTATGTATATCTCCACATAAGAAAGTTTTCCATGCAAAGATATGAGTTTGACCCTTCAGTTTGTATGGCAACTATATGTATTCGTAGTCCGATTTCAAAAATTTCTGCAGAGGTTATAGCGTTACTTTGAATTAAAAGCTGCATGAAATTTCATGAACATACCTTATCAAATAAAAAAGTTTTCAATACAAGTACTTGATTTTCCCCGTTCAGTTTGTATGACAGCTACATATATGTTGGAGTGGTCCGATTAGAACAATTTCTTTGCATATTATGCCATTGCTTCAAATAATAATACATGTCAAATTTTGTGAATATAACTTATCAAATAAAGAAGTTTTCCATACAAGTACTTCATTTTCCCCGTTCAGTTTGTATGACAACTATACGCTGGAGTGGTCCGATCGGAACCATTTCTTGTGAGATTATTTGTGTGCATATGTATTTGAAAATTTGCGGCACCACTGCGCTAATTCACATTTTTCTATACATATTTCTTTTGAAGGCGAAGTTCTAAATTCCCAGCTTTCCTTGCACAATGTGAGCCGTACACACATACATTTAAACATTTGACTATTAGAATTACGCAGTTAGTTTTACACTTCACATTGCTGCTGTGGTATTAGCGAATATAACCTCAATGTCCTCTATGCAATTTACACTCTTAATAATTTACACTTTCAGCAACGCCAGCGCTGGTTTTTCATTTGTTTGGCATGCAAACCGCGCTCTGCTTTGATATTATGCAACTTTTTTACACTTTCCAGCAAGATTTTTTTTAACAAATTAGTGTTTTTTCTTTGCGGCAGCAGCACTAAGCACTTTTGAAGACGCGAGTTGGGAAGCGACAATAATGGCGCCGGAAATTTTACAGACACATGGTTGCATTTGCACGAAAAAATCTTTTTTAATATATTCAATAAATAATATTAAAATATATATAATTAAGCGAATACATATAATATTATATAAATATGTATAATAATACAAATAAATATGAAATGCCTAAGCAACATCAAATGTAGAATTCATTTTAGTTCCATTTATGTTCAGTAGATTTTTTTACATTTTGGTAAAATTATATGCAAACATTTATAACATATGGCCTTTGAAAACTTCACGCACAGATGTCGCTTTGCGAACAGAATTTGTGGCGAAGTTTAAACGTTAAAAAGTACTTATTATACATGTTAATTAGTTAGTACTCGAAAAAATTATATTTTAAAGGTTTTTGTAATGATTTTACTGGTAACTTTTTCATTAACTTTCTTTAAAAAAAAGACTGATTTTATTTTCTTGCACGCGGTTACACCCTGTAGCCTGTCAAGTTTCCGCCGCCATTATAAACGCTTCCCTTTTCGCGCTAGCAGAAGTTTCTCGTAAAAAAGTGCATAATTTAAATAAGTGTTATGTTCTTATTACCAATTGTACATATATAGCTCCGATCGAATAATGTGCATTGTACGGGTATTGGAAAAATTAGTAAGTAAACTCAAACGCGTGTGCAAGTAATGGTTTTTAATAAAAGTGAAATCTTTGTTGTGGTTATGTGCTGCTACTTTTTTGGGTGCTTTGAGTATTTGTAAAAAATATGTGAATATCATTAATAATATATGTATGTTATGTGTGAAAGTGTATATAAATATAGTTCGTTTAAATTCCATGCATCTAAGTGTTAATGTGAAAATATAAGGATGAAAGGATGTAGCATAGCAGCAGCGCAGTTACGTGGTGAGCTGGCGTTCCTTGCACAAAAAGGTAACAAGTTTAGAAAATATATGTATGCAATTTTTAATAATAATTACATTTTTTATAGGTATGTTTGTCAGTGTCGATTTTTGCCTAAGAAAAATATGTAATCTTGTGTGTTGTATAATATTGAACAGGTAAACTTATTTATAAGTAGGTTAAGTTAGCAGGCAATTATAGTGGGAACTATGAATTCTTAATATTTCTCTGTTGACAATAATAATTTAACTTTCTTTTGCAAAAAATTGCATTTCTTTTCTCTGAAATATTCGCAAACAATGAAATATATTGTAGTTTCGAAAAGCAAAACATTAAAAATTGTCCGATTTTAAACAAATTAACACTACTTCCTCTTTAAAATCTACCCTGTTGTTGTTATAATGTCAAAATTTTTAATTGGAAATACACAACTGTTCAAATTGCTTAATATTTTTAATGTTTAATTGAAAAATGTAACGACTTTTTCCCAAAAAAAATCGCGTCTTTTTACAAAAAATGTACTGAAAAAGTGAAAAATTTAAATTACGAAATATAAAATTATAAAATTTGTGTTAATCGCGTTCCCTTGAACCGCACTCCTTAATTGTTATATTTGCAGAATTAGTTGTAAGCTATTACCGCTCAGTCCGACTCGACATCCCGACCAGAGGAAATGTCGGTTCCTAATATTACCACTACATACCGTTGCAAACATTGCAAGATCGTCGAAATAACACCACTTGACGGACTTATATTCCATTAATGTAGCACCGACTGTTGTGGAAATTGAAGGTACTATTGTGCACAGCAAGGAGCAAAGCAAAGAGGCACAGAAATAGTTGCTTTTGTTGTTAAAATATAGCACTTTTGTCCATATTTCCGGATTTATTTATTATTAATTATGTTACTACATTTTAATATTTACATATTGTTATTTAAGTGCAATATGTGGATATGCACAATATACGCGTATATTAATTATTTACTGACTTACATTCTAATACATGTATGTATGTAATGGTCTATGTAGACACGAACATAAATAGGAAACAAAAGCCACTTACAGCCAGCGGAAAATTAAACGTAGAATTCAGCTTTACTAACCGGACACAAAAATTAAAATGTCTTGTATTTGCTTATTGAGCATTTTTCTAGAAAGAACGAGAAAGCTTGGCGTAAGTGTAATTATTAAGCAATATACATTTGTAGGTTTGTATGTAGATAATGAATTCGGAAAGTTTTTATAAATTTTATAAACTGCATTCTTTATAGCAATTCTGGCAACTACATGCGCCTTGTCATTATAAATAATGCAAAAATATGTTGCTTAGTTTGAAGTAATCCATTGTTCCAATCTAATTCTAGCGAAATGTGCAAATTTATTCGCACGAAAATTCAAGAAATAGTTTACATGAAATATATGATTTCGACACGAGCCAGCCTAGTACAATGAAGTGTGCTATTGCTTAGCATTGTGCCAGCCGTTTGTTCAAGTGAGCGGAAAGTATTTGTCTATGTCTGCGTCTGTGGCGATCATATTGACGGTGAGGAAAGTATCACGTATGTATGATTTGCAATGCGACGGTTCTGTAAGCAAAAAACAAGTAATTACTACACTTCAAAAACAAGTAACGGTATTAATTTCAAGTGAAAAATCAAAATTTTCATGGTCACTCACCCAATTTGCCGTCACAAACACGATTCGTTATCCTTTTGGCCAATGTTTTGAAGAGCTCTTTTGAGGTGATCTTATTTTTATAGTAGGGATTTAGTAGCTCTACTACGGATTTGCTCACATCCGATTTATGTTTGGCGGCGTTGAGGCGCGCTTGTCTTTCATTTGTGGCGTGTTTGGTAATCGTTGCGGGTCTTTGTGTTGGCTTACGATATTCGCCGCCTTTTGCCGCATTTTCACTGGTATTGGAATTTTCAGTATTTTTATTGTTTTTCGACAATGTGTACTTGGATTTGCTGCCATTCATATCACTTTCGGTTGTTAGTGGTAGCTCTTTCTTGCGTTTGGCTGCAGGCCAGTCCGACTGTCTAGACGCATCTTCCGCCTTTAATGCGGCAAAGTTTGTGTTTTTTGTTGTGGTTTCTTTTTCGCTCGGTTTTAGATCGCTGTTTGCAGCAGTTTGCTCTTCATGCTTCAGTAACCTTTTCTGCGCAGCCGCTTTATCACCCGCCGCTGCGTTACGCTCGATCTCTTCTAAAGCCTTTAGCTCATCTTCTATTTTCTTCTTGCTTAAAGCGAGTAGTTCCAATTCGTCGAGCGAATCTTCCGACTCTTCGCGTTTCTTATCCGATTCACCTTCGAATTCTTGCCATTCGGCGCGCAGCGCTTTGAGCTTTTCCTTTACCGACTTTTCATATTTGACCGAGTCCTCAAAGGCGTCTTGGTATTTACATTTGCTGGCCGTTGCGCTCTCGTACATTTCCAGCTCGTCCAAATCGTCATCCTTGTGCTTATGCTTGGAGTGGTGCTTGTGTTTGTGCTTGCGTCTCGAGGATGAGCTGGCAGATGAGGAATCCGATTTGTATTGATGCGTGGTTAACGTGGTGCTAGTGGTTGTTTTGTGATGGTGTGAGCTGGCGCTGGACGTGGATTGATAGTATGCATCGTAACTGACCGAGCTTTTGTAGCTATGCAAAGGCGATTTCTCGTTGGATTTGCTGTAGTGTGATGTTCTGTGTTTGCGTTTGTGATGTGCCAGCACCTCGTAATACTCATCATCTTCGTTCCTGGCATCTGTTCTGTTGGAGCTATCTGATTTGTTTGTAGTGGAAATATCCGATTCATCGCCGAAGAGTGTCTTTAATTTGCCATCCTCTTTCTTAGTTGTATATTTAATGGAGTTCTCCAACATTTCCTGAGCTGGATCATCCCAATCGTCATTGCCAAACAACGTATCCATTTTGGCAACCGCCGGTTTCGCAGCATGCTTATCCAAACGCGTCTTACCATTCTTGTCACTGTCATGCCTTTCTTCGTCTTCGCTCATTTTAAACTCATTGGAGTTGATATCTTTGTCGCTTATGTCCTCGAGATCATCATCGATTTTCATATTAACGCTATCATTTTTTATGGTGTCATCTTTGTCAGTGTCGTAAACATTTTCTTCTTTTAGGGGTGTGCCTGCGAAATTAGCTTCGTTTTCTGGCTCCTTGCCTGTCTTTTCAATATCCATGCACTCCACGTGCTCTTGCTTGATATTTCCATTTTCATTGCCTTCCATATCTGTGCTCTCACTACTACTGCTTACCGGCGAACAGTTATCGTCTTCACTTTTAATTTTCTTATTCTTCTCGAAGAAGCTGGCAATGGTGGTCTGCTTGGTAGTGTCTTGTTTGTAACTTTTTTTGTGCCGCAACGCTTTCGGCAAATCATTCGTTGAGTTGTTCTTGTTCGGGACACTGGGTGATGTTGGTCGCGAGTCTTCCAGCTCCTTCAATTTACGCTCGAAATACTCAACACTACCGCCCGTCCAGACGCCCTGCTGACTTGTTTCGGGACGCGCCACATAGGATCTTAATATCGGCATAAGCAGCTCTTTGCTTGTTTGCTGGCGTATGGCTGCAAGCTGTTAGAAGATTATTGGGTTTAGTTAGAGGCTATCTGTTTAATTGTTTTTAGACCAAAAAGGGTTTAAATTACTTGTTGTTATATTTTATATTCTTACCTCTTTCGCTAAGGCGTGTCGATACATATTGGCCACCTTCACTCTCGAAAAGCATTCATACTCTACGTCTATGGCAATAGCTTCAATATCGCGATGGCGCAGATCTCTACGCGGATCATCTTCTTTGCACTGTTCAACATTCAACTTCAACGCACTGATGATGGCGCTGAGGTAGTTCTCACGTATGGCCGCTGTAAGTCCGGAAACTTTGACACCGGATGATGGTGCATGCTTGACACGTGTTATCTGTGATTTTTCCTCCTTCTCCACTTCGCGCGCCGCATTCAATTGCTTACGCAGTTGAAATTGTTTACGTATGAAATCTTCTGATTCACGCTTTGCCTTCTTGGATAACTCTTCGTGACTTACAGCGCCGTCTGACTCGCCATAGTCTTCCTTTAGTCTTTTCGCAGCTGCCCGCCCACCTGTGAATTTTTTTTAAATTTTATATATTTATGTTTACCAATATCGTGGCATAATACCTTCATACAAATCCTCGCTATCCTCCAATGAAACGCCAGATTTGAAGCGTCCATCCATGCATAATTTGTGAAACAATTCTAAAGCCTTTTCGATTTTTTTAGGCTGCTTGCACACGTCACATTGACCATTACAGTCTGGTGGCGGATCACCAAAGTAATCAGAGAAGAGCTTGTGGCGACAACGTAGACTCTCACAGAAGCTAACAATCTCTTCGAAGTTTTTCACAGCACGCTGCAGAGAAAAAATAAATAAATAAATGAAATAAAATTAGTCAATATTAAATTTCCAATTAGAAATTTGTAAACTGACCTGCGCCAACTCCTGCTTTCCAGAGCATGTGGAACTCTTCGTTCTATTTACATCGTTTTGCAGCAAAAATTGTATGGATTTCACATCTTCCCTGCCGTAATACAAGCGACAGTATGATTGTAGTCCATCTCGTCCAGCGCGCCCGGACTCTTGATAATAGGCTGCCACATTTTGTGGCACATCCCAATGCACAACGAAACGCACCGATGGCTTATCCACACCCATACCGAAACTGTTCGTTGCACATATCACAGGGTATTCACCGTTCATCCATTGCTCTTGCACTTGTATGCGCTCTGCCCCTTTTAAGCCGGCATGGTAGGCCACAGCGCCCACACCTTGCTTGGAAATGCCATAGGCCACGCGTTCCACGTTCTCGCGCGTGCGACAGTAAACAATGCCACAGCCACGTTTTGGTGCCGGCACCGCTTTGAACTCGTTCATATCACCAAAACAATGCAAAGCAAATGCAGCTAAATGTTGGAAATCATCCTCTATTGAATTTTTAAACACTACATCATAGAAGAGATTCTTGCGAAAGCTAGGCGTCGTAAATCTGGCCACGGGCTGCTTCAGCGCTAAATGCTGGAAAATGTCCTCACGTACTTGTCTGGATGCAGTCGCAGTCAGAGCCAACCAAACGATGTCGTTATACTTTCTACGCAGGTTACAGAGTTTAAGATAATCTGGTCGGAAATCATGGCCCCATTGCGAGACACAATGCGCCTCATCGACGGCAAAATAGGCGATTTTATTGTGCTTCACCAACGTTTGCAAGAGATCTTGAAAAAGCTGCGTTGCCGCCTGCTCGGGCGTTATATATAAAAAACGTATGCTAGGGCGCATAGCTTTAAGATCGCTGATAACAGCATCACGTTCTTTATTTGACATCTTAGAGTTCAGCGAATCGGCGCGTATCTTAAGCTTACCTAAGTGATCAATTTGATCTTTTATTAGCGCCAGCAGCGGTGAAAAGACAATAGTTATTTGATTTTCACACAATACACCGGGCAGCTGGTAGCACAGCGACTTGCCGGAGCCGGTGGGCATAGACACAAATATGTCGCGCTTTTCTGCATTGAAAATTATTTATTAAAAAATAGTACACAGTTATTCATATATGAGGCACCACTTACTTTCCACCGCACATTTTATAGCACTTTTTTGCAAATCTGATTTGAAGCTGGTGTGACCAAAGTATTTCTCAAGCGCAGCGTTGAGTTCGGCATCTGCGCTGTCGCCAACACTCATCGTGTTTAATAATGTTTCTGCTTTTGTTGAAGCACTTTTTTTAATTTTAATAAATTAATTTCGCATCAAATGCGTGCTTTTTTCTTCTTTTCCTGACAATTTTTTCCTCCACCTCGTTTATGTTTTCGGCGGTTATTCTTTGTTTTGTATTTTGACATTTGACGTTTTTCTTTTCGCGAGAATTGACGCGAATCAGATATTTTTCGGCGCACGCAGAGTTGCATTGGCGTGTCATAGATTATTTGATGCAAATAATAAGAGAAAATAAATTGTAGCACATCGAAAACTGAAACACAAACCAGACGTAAACTTTTTGCAGTAGTTTTTAATGACTTTCAATATTTAATTTTAAGTTCCAATAAAATTATTTTAACACGCTGTTTAAGTTCTAATTATGTAGAAAATGGAAAGGGTTTCTTTTGAATTGTTGACGTAAAATCCAAGTCTAAAGACCAACCCTTTTTACCAATACGAACAGAAGTTTTAGTTGTGCAGGCTGTCCAAGCTTTTAGCGAAGTTTAATAGAGACTCAATTTTTAATTCTGATTTGATAAGCCATACATAAGCAGAGAATGCGTTCCAACGACTCTCTCATGTCCTTTTCCCTGCACTTTTCTCACGTTGGCTATTACGCCATATGGCTCCCATGTGATGAGAATAAGTTGAGACGTGTGAGTAGGCTAACAACCGTCTTGCAGTTTTTTGAGACTGTGAAATTTTATTATGTATCCTGATTAGTAATTTATATATTTCCGGAACTAGTTCAGTAGTAAAGCGGATATTACTTTTGGCGATCTAATCAGTTACTTTGTTTTCCGGAACGCCCTTGTGGCCTGGAACACAGTATGCAGTCGCTTTCTGGTGGTCCCTTTACTATTTCTACCAGTACTTAGTGCCTTTTGTCTCTAATGACATCCTTAAACGCAATACGTTGTGAGAATATGGCTTTAATTGCCACTTATATATATTGATATTCTTTATGTCGTTTCCGAAGTTGTTAGCCACCTCAACAGCTTAGCTGACGGTAAAGATTTCTGCGCAGAAAAGACTGCAATTTCCAGCAACTTTCAGCGTCGCCCGACATCAAGCTCCGCGCTAGAGACTCCGTCGCCCACTTCATTAGCCCTTTTTGACTGTTAGATCGAGTGCTCCAGCATCCACTCATTTTTAGCGTGATTGCAAATCTTTGCTCACAAATAAATCGTGAGGGCTTGTGGTTTATTTTTCTTGTTAAAAATCCACCTTGCCATGTCAATCTTGCAGCTGATTTCGTTATCCAGCTTTCCACTGCAATGTCAGGTGCTGCCAAGTTCAGTAACCTTTTAAGTGCAGTGGTTCTTAATGCTCTCGTTATTCATAGAACAGCGCGCCGCTGTATTCGCCCCAACGGTTTCCTGTATTTGATTTCACTGGCAGCGGTTCATCATACCAAAGTACTATAAAGGAAGACTCATTAGCTTCACTGTAGCATCTTACATGTGCAGAAAGCACTACTGGCTTTTTCTCCCTCTTTTCCATATTTAGTTCCCACATCAATGTGCTGTCCAAAATTACTACTTAGTAGTTAACACTTCACTTGGTGGTTTGTCTAGGAACTAGCACGTCACTAGTACAAATGCTCATTTGCTCCACAGGAGAGGTGACAATAAACCCCACTGACGAGTTCCTGTTCACGCTAATCTGAGCCGTGTAAGCGATGTCTACACCAAAAAAGAAAGTGGAAAGCGGTTAAGTGTGAAGTTGGCTGCGAAAAATGCAATAAGATCAGTTGTTGTCTTCAAACGAAATTACTTAGTGAACGACACTATATATCTAGTGAGCCCTCAGTCCATTTTTTAAATTTCGTTAAGTAAAAAATCGTAAAATTCGGTTATATATAATTACTGTTGTATTAAAAAAGTGTTTATTTAACTTTTACAATTAGTTTGTAAGGAAAACGTTAAAAAAAACTATGTTTCGTCAACAATTAGACGCACTTAATCAATATTGAACATTTTAATTGTGATTTTTGTACATTTAAAGAAATGCGAATTTCTCATGGCATATTAAATATTCGATTGCGCTTAGCATTATATCTATATGTATATATATTTCTCAGTGGCGGAGCGGGCATTTGCTTTTTGGGGGCTTTTGCTGAAGTTTATTGAAGTTACTTCGCCAATTCAATTGCAAAAATCTGTGAGTTGTGGTGTGTTTGCTACCCAAACCCCCCTGGAATGCGCCACTGATATTTCTATATAACTATATAGATATCTACGTTACTATATATAAGTATAAACACCAACGCATTGTTACTTTGAGCTTAATACTATACATTCAAAATTAAAATATTGCAATTATTTTCGTAAAAATTATTAATAAAAAAATATTATAAACAAATTTGCGTCGATTTTCTGTAAATATTACAGCATAATTTTTAAACCGTAGCCAGAAGACGTCGATGGTGCGCATAGAGCAGCTGTGCGGCCTATAGTTGCTCAACCTCATTTATCGCATTTACTCCAGTTCACCGCTAACACCAAAACGTATTGTGGCCAACAAATCCACCAAGTAGATGAGTGTGGTTACCAATGAGACCGCAGCGGCGGCCAGCACCAGGTCAAGACGTTGCATATTCGGATGCCAGTAATTACGCTCCTTTGTGGTGGACCAATCGCGGAAGAGTAGCGCCGTCACAGCCACAAGCAGTATGAAGCCAATGATGGACCACAGCGTCGAGGTACGCCAAGATGTGCTAAACGAGCCGAGCATAAAAGAAATAAATAGAAAAAAATTACATTCAACTTATGTGGGTTAAAGGGGGTTATTGTAAGAGGTTACGCACACATCGCCGAACAATGCCATAATTAAGTAAATTGAAGTATAAATGATGAGACTGCCAAAGGTTACGTAGCAGAGGGCGACAACGCGCGGCGTTATGAAGATGCGCAGATGTGAGTGTGTGGATGGCTCATCGATGAGGCCAATGCAAGTGATGACCAGTGCCTGGAATGTTGATGTTAGTTAAGCATAAGTATAAGCGCGTGGTGAAGTAATTTTTAAATTGAATTAAAGGCATTAAATTTGTGGCGGTAAAGCCAACAGTGGTATGAGTATGTGTAAAACAGATCAATTGAAAAGTACCCGGCTTGATAAATAGATGGCGAATTCGAATTAAATCTATATGATTTCTGATTTTGCTTGATGAGTAGTTTCCGGAAACTACTCCCAAGAAAATATACCATCAAGGATTGGTATGCTAAGTTTAGAGATGGTGAAATGAGCTACAAAGACGGTGTACGCAGTGGACGCCCAAAAGAAGTTGGTAAAGTGAGTTTTTCGATATATTAGGTACTCTCAAGATATCAAAATTCACGAATATTTGAGTGTAATAAAGCTCTCAGCAAAGTGAGTGCCGCGCGAGCTCGCCTTTGACCAAAAACAATGACGAGTTGGTGATTTAGTGCAGTGTTTGGCGATGTTAAACTCGAGTCTTTGCATCGATGAAACATGGCTTCATCATTTCACTCCGAAGTCCAATCAACAATCAACCGAATCGACTACACACGATGAAACCGCTCTAAAGAATGGAAAAATGCAACAGACGGCTGACAAGTTTATGTCATCTATATTTTGGGATGCACTTGGAGTATTTTTAATCTTATTCTTCTTTCTTCTTTCTTCTTTCTCGTACTTATACTCATGACTCCATTCTCCATAACTTTTATGACAAAAAGTAAATGTCCTTGAGCTGGGCTTCAAATTGCCTCCCACCATATTCTCCAGATCTGGCCACCAGCGACTATCTCCTGTTCCCAGATCTCAGAAGAATGTGCACTGCGAAAAATTTTTGGTCGAATGAAGAGGTGAACACCGAAACTGAGGCTTATTTTGAAGCAAAGTACAAAGGAAATGTGTTTTACTCTGGCAGGCCGGGGACTTTTCAATTGACTTCTTGTGTATAAACGTATATATGTAGGTATATATATATAGTATTTTAGTAGTTATGTATCTTACCAGTTCCAACAACTTGATGCCCATCAACGAATAGCTCGCACGCTTCGAACCGCTACTTGTCGTGTAGGTGGAGTCTTCCGCCGGCGTCATCTCTACGCGTGAGATTTCTGTGGCAAGAATTAGTGCAAGACCGAATTTATTACTTTGCAATAACAACTAATTGTGTGTATTAATATGGGCATATATGGATAAAATAAATGGGGTCACGTAATGACTTTGGAAGCAGTTTGTTGTTTAGTAACCTTTACCTATTGAACGCAGATAGTTCATTTTGGCAGCGTTTTTTTAGAATTAGAACTCTTCCGTTATAATTGAATGCGTTGCTGAGCAACTTGCACCGAATTAACTGAGAACTGAGAAAAACAAGACACATGTGAAGAAGTGTTTACTTATAGATCAGTAATCGATTTTGACACATTTTTATATTGGAAAATATTCAAACACAAAAAATGTCGTTTAGTGAAAAATGGAGTTAGTAATATGTTATGTTATATGTTAACATATGTTTTTATTTCTACTTTTTAACTGTATTGTTTCTCTATATTATGTGGCAACATTTGGCTTCATGATCACTGCATCATAATTCCTCGATCATTAAGCGTTAATATCGTTTTGTAAACGCACTCAAACGTACAGTTTTGATAATACGCCAAAGGCCAACTCTTTTGTAGCTGATGACACAATGCGCATGTTATGTGATTTTTATTAATTTTTACTGATTACGCATGGCAAGGTCAAATAGTTTATACCCAAGTTTTGTATATCTATAAAAATCTGCCATGCTTCGGATAGTATATAGCAATACTTACATCAATGTTAAATAAATGTCAGATAGTTTAACGACATGACTAAAAAACACCCTTTATTATATACAAGCTCATACCAATATTGACCACAATATTGTGTACACATCTGTATGGTACTTTACCACTTTTTCAGACCCAACGACAACCACTTTCTCCTGTCTTGACTTGCGCCTAGCATATGCCATAAAAAAAGCATATGTGAACACAGCTCAGCGTCCAGGAAACACGTTTGCACGCCACGCAAAATATGGTGCATTACTGCCCAATGGCTGACCAGCTCTTATAGGCAGCGGTGAACTGTTCACCGCCGACAACTGTTCAAGTCACGTGAGACGATTAAAGTAAACCATTTGGCTTTTCATCGCATAAACAAACAAATATACTTAAATTATGTATTAATGGAACTTATTCTTGGAAAGTACGACTTCGCATGTCTTAAACTCGAAGTTAGCTTTTGCAAATTTCGAAGAGGCTATGTTTGAGTCATTCTACTCCGACGAAAAATAATTCTTGTAAACGCAAAGGGAGATATCGCGCTTATCTTTGGCACACAACATGCTCTTCCCAAGAAGTGGCTCATTTGTCAAAACCGACATAATTAGAACACTAAAACATATAGCTGGCATACGAACTGAACKATTAAAAACAAGTTCTTGTATGGAAAACAGCTTTATATGCTCACGAAATTCGTCAAAAATTATTGTTTGAGACATCAGCATAATCCACATAAAGCCAMCATAGAACAGAATGTGCTTGACAATGATGTCGTAGAGCCAGAGAACTACTTTTGGTGAGAGATCCCATCTTTTGCCAATGAYTCCTCTAAGGCAATCGCTGCCTTTTTCCTCTCTCTTCGATATTATGCTTCTATGAAAGTTTCCTATCCAGCATGAGCACTAAAAGTTTAGTTGTATCCACAGGTTGCAGACGGGTGTCGCTCATTTAAGGCAGTGGTACCACCGGGATCTGATATCTTCCAGTAAATAAAACCATCTTGGTTATACTTGAGTTGATGGCGAGACCATTTCCGTCAGTATAATTTGTTATGACGCTGAGATACCCCTGGATCAACTCCTACACAGTATTCGGGAACTTTCTTTTGACCACACAAGTGCTACATTGTCTGAATAGGCAATTCCGCGGCAGCCAAGAAGCAAAATTTTTCTAAGCAGGTCGTTAACGACCAGAATCTATATAAGAGGGGACAGAACTGCACCTTGTGCGATTCCCGAACTCACATTTCGTCAAGCACGTGCCTTGCCTCATTCCGTTTCAATCACTCTGCCGTTTAGAAGACTGAAAATGAGGTATTTCAAGTTGGATTCAACCCTAAGACCGTTCAGAGCAGTAACGACTGCTTCCGGCAGCACGTTACTGAAAGCTTCCTTAATATCAAGAAAGAACTCAACAGCGAATTCCTTTACCCTAATGATTTCCTCAACCCATGATACTTTGGTATGCAGGGCAGTATCCACACACTTGCCTTTACAATAAGCATATCGCGCTCCTGATAAATGGCCCCTCGGAATGTGTCTATTATGGAACAGTCTCTCCAGATTTTTTACGTTGACGTACTTAAAGTTCTCGGCCGTAACGTGGGAACCCCTATCAGAACGGCTCGTCTGCAAGCCCCCGGGATGTAACTCAGTCTTATGCAGTTCGCATAGATAGGTGCCAACCAGCTGTATGGTACCTAAACAGACTGCTGCAGTTGCGCTGGTATAATGCCATCCGATCCCGAAGACGTGAATGGCTTAAACGAATTGATGGCCCAGGTCAAGTGTCGTTTATCCAGAAGGTTGACAAAGGCCGCGTAATCATCTTGCAATACTCCGAGAGATATCTCCCCAGAGAATAAGTTCTTATATAAAGAACTTTTTTATATATCAAGATATCTTCACAAAATTTGACACAGATTTTTTTTCTAAAGCATTGCTATAATACTTGACGAAATTTTTCAGAATGGCCTACTATAGCATATAGTTGCCATACAAACTGAACGATCGAAAATCAAGTTCTTCTACATAAACTTTTTTAATAAGAGATATCTTCATGAAATTTGGAATATATTACTTCCTAAAACATCGCTATAATACGTGAAGAAATGGTTTTGATCGGATTACTATATCATATAGCTGCCATACAAACTGAATTATCAGACTGCAGTTTTTGTATGGAAAACTTTTTTACTTGGCAAGATATCTTCACGGAAYTTTGTATAGCATATTGTTGAAGATAACCCTATAATATTCGAAGATTTTTTTTGAATCTACCTGCTATAGCATATAGCTATCATACAAACTGAACGATTAAAATTAAGTTATTGTAGGGAAAGCTTTTTTATATGACAAGATATTCTCACGAAATTTTGTATGGCATATGTTTGAAGATAACCCTACAATATTCGAAGATATTTTTTGAATCGACCTACTATAGCACATGCTACCATACAACTGTCTCTTATACACATCTAGATGTGTATAAGAGACAGACCTACTATAGCACATGCTGCCATACAATCTCATATCTTGTAGGGAAACTTTTTTATTTGTTAAGCTTCATAGCTTCACTGCAACTGAAGTCACATTTCTTTCTAAACAAATATTTATTAAAAATTAAAACGTATGCATTTGGTAATTGTTAATAACTGCTCGGTTGAGTCGCCAACCATTCGACCACCCACTCAATTTCTGCCTAATTCCGTATGCGTGATTGCTATCCTTTACGCTTGACCTGCTTGCATAACTAAACGTTTGTTGTAATAGCATTACAATGGCAACAAAAAAATKTAAACAAATATTTCTGACCATGATTTTACCTTCACACATATTCATGCCTAACGCGCTTCAGCCATTAACAGGAAAAATATTAGAAAAAAAATGAATTAATACTCGCGTGAGTTAGTAATAATTAAACTGCTGCTCTTTATGCCCCACTCGCGCGTGTTGCTAGCCACAAAAACAAATAAAAGTAGACAGAAGAAATAGAAATATGTATAACGGTAATAAAAGTTTTTATTTTGTTCCACACATTTTCAGGTGATTGTACGAAATAAACGATGACGACRAAACTTGGCGTCTCGTACAAAACAGGTCATAATACATACGAAAAAAGTGGTGGAAAAAAGGCCAAAAATGAAAGCGCGCCGAGTGTTTGTTGTGTTATGGCTGAAGGCGCCAAAACGAGTTTGGTTGCCAGTTCGAAAATTTGTTGGTAAATAAAAAATGTAAACAAACCGTTGGCAGTGTGTGAGTGCTTGGCTATAGACTCAGCTTACACAACAAAACCAACTAAAACCAGAATTCGTGCGTTGTTCGAATGCGCATCGAAAGAATGTAGGAATATGAGTATGGAAATGAGAGCCAAGCGGAGAGCGTAATAGAGGCGCGTTTTCGTAAGAAATACGAGTGCAGTAACACATTTAAGTGCTTTGTGTTGGCTCTTTTTCTTTGTTGGGTTTTCGAAGTTGATATCGAAAAAAAAATTTGTTTTTAATTAACTTAGAAAATCATTTTAACGTTTCGAAGTTGACTTCGAAAATCATATTTATTTTTCGAAAATCAAATTTACTTTTCGAAATTAACTTCGAAAATCATTTTTACCTTTCGAAGAGTACGAGCATTGTTAATTAATGCAGCTTGTACTGCGCACAGCCAAGTGAAAATCTTTGCCACAAGCCACACCTGTTTCTGCCGCACAGGAATGTGTAAAATGCGCAGTAAGTAAACAAGCAAACTTAAAATACGCTGAAATAATTTTAAATATATGTATTTTATGGCTTTTATGTATATTTTCAAACAAAAATTCAATATTCTACTTCACTGCAAGCCCATCAACTACAAATTTACACAAAAGTGCGTCATGAAGCCTTACAAAGCGGCCATTGACTTGTCACACATCAACATGTAGAGACGCGCCAAGTTATTTTTATTTAATTTTAGTCAACTCGTGCATACGTGCATTTGAGACACTCACGAACTCTGTTATGGTTTAGAGCCAATATCAGTGCCAGCTAGCCTGAGCCTATTTTCCATTGACACCCGTCTAACAATAGCAAGAGACAGATGTGTCTAGCTTACCAAATTGGTGGTCTCTTATGCCGCTCTGCTTACATATTGGTATGATTAAAAGCGTGCGACTGCTCAAATGTGTCCTTATTTAGCTTAACTTTTRTGGAATTTCGATTTTTGGTAGTGTGTGAGTTTGTGGCTTAAGTCTTTTGTTGACGAAAATTTGTTTTGGTCTGAAGGTGGTAGAGGGTATTTAAGCTATCTGAAAGATTTTTCAGTGAAACAATTGAAGCTGAAAGCATATGTTTTTGATTACTGTGTTTTTGTGATGGGCTTAGTTTACTATTTGTGACATAACTACAGCTTTTAAAGGATTGGTACATAGCTGTGACTTTCTTCGGCTCTAACAACCGATTTTTAGGAAAATAATCGAGCGAGMATTTTCTAAAAACTTTCACTTTGCGACCTAAAAAGAGTGCTAAAAAGTCGACGCAGATAATTTTTTAAATAAATTTAATAATATGTAAAGAAATTCTTTATATYGGATCACTATATCATATAGCTGTCATACAAAGTGAATAATTAAAATTAAGTTTTTGTATGAAAAATTTTAGTATTTAAAGAGATATCTTCWTTATATTTCGTACATATTATTTTCTAAAGAAATTTCATAAAATTTGAAGAAATTTTTAAGATCGGACAACAATAGCATATAGCTGCCCTATAAACTGTGTGGTCAAACTCAAGTCCTTGTTTGAAAATCCTTATTATTTGTCGAAATATCTCCACAAAATTCTACACAGATTATATTCTAAATCAACTCTATAATTTCTGAAGAAATTGCTCATATCTGATAACTATATCATATAGCTGTCATACAAATTGAATAATGAAAATCAAATACTTATATGAAAAACGTTATTATTTGACGAGATATCTGCACGAAATTTGGCACAGAATATATTTTGAAAACAACACCACATTATCTGAAGAACTTTCTCAGATCGGTTGACTATAACATATAGCTGTCATACAAACCGATTGCTTAATATATACTTTTTTTAAGAAAAACTTGARCCTGGGAAAGCCATTCCAGCTGTTGAGCAGCCAAAGTTAACTCCTTTTCTTATTTTTACTTAAAATCCAACAATTTTCTGGGTTTCAACATCTTTGGAGCACACGAACTACGCATTTCACATAATATGTCAGGCGCGTGAATAATTGCTTCAATTTCCTGCCTTTACACAAGCTAAACTTATACAAATGCATGTATATAGTATGTGTATATGTATTGGAGCAAAAAATCAGCMAACAATTAAAAAATAGCAAAGCATGGCGACTAAAAAACAAAAAACMACTTATTGCAACATACATACATGCATACATTCATATAATCAGAGATTGCAGCTACTAAGAAGCCGTGTGAAGTGTAAAATAAGAGTTAGCTGCAATTGCAATAAACCAGTTTCGCGTGTCTAATGCACGAAACACAGCAACGATGCTTTTGTAAATAAAAACACATAAACCAGTTGAAARACTTGCCATCGCAATGTTGGCAATTCACGTGCTGCAGCGAAAACCAAAGACTACTACAACAAAAGCAAAATAATCATAAAAAACAGAGGTGAGGAAGTGGAAACGCGCCTATGGAAAAATGCGAGCAAAATAAGAATTGRCAAAAGTATTCGCCGCCAAAGCAGGTCAACAGACGCTAACAACTATACA